GCGCGATCTGCTTGACACAGCAGTTCAGACTGTTCGCTGCGTTTTCGAAGACATTTGAGGTTGCGCTGCGCTATGCTGGTCTTTCCGTCCTGGCATGTATTGTTCTTGGAGGTTATGTCATTTCGCTGGACAGACTTATCAATAACGTTCCCTGGGTAGGGTGGATAGCGGTACGTAGCCCTGCACTGGCTGCTTGAGATGTACTCACATGTCCCACAGTACACAACGCCGGTCATCTACACCTTCGAATCGATGATGGCGGCCGAGTTCCATAACACAGACTTCACCTGTTCTCCCGGATCAATTGTCCCCTTTGGACCCAACTACACTGATGTCACCTACCAGACATGCGCGTACTACGGAAGCCGGATCGGGACCACGATCATCACCGGGGACGATTACATGGCCTCTCACTTCGGCTTCTACTACCACCACGTGTGGCGTAACTTCGGCATCCTGTGCCTTTTCACCGTGTTCTACATCGCTGCAACGTGTTGGGTCAGTGAGGTCGTGGAATGGGAATCCTCTAGTGCAGGACCAATCCAATACAAGGGATCCCAGAAGAAATCGAGGAAAGCTCAGACAACTCAGGATGAGGAAGTTGGTGGTGTGCAAGGAGACTCCCAGGACATGCCCGCTGCTCGCCAATCTCCTCATCAAGACCAAGCTCTAGAGCAAGCTGTTCTGGCATGCAAGTCGACATTCACATGGGACAACCTTGAGCTCCATGTGGAGATAGGCAGGGAGTCGAGGAGGCTGCTGAATAAGGTGTCTGGGTACTGCAAACCAGGCAGCCTCACGGCCTTGGTCGGCGCATCTGGCGCAGGAAAGTCCACACTGTTGACGGCCCTCACCCAACGCCAGAGCTCAGGAAATTTGAGCGGTACGATGTTTGTCGATGGGCATCCGACCGACGAATCCTACAACCGTCGCATCGGGTATTGCCAGCAAATGGACATCCACGACGAAACGAGTACCATCCGCGAAGCATTCGAGTTCTCCGCTCTGCTGAGACAGAATCAGCATACCCCCGATGCAGAGAAACTGGCCTATGTCAACATTGTTCTGGCCACGCTGGACTTGATCGATTTGCAGGATGCTGTGATAGGTTGTCTGGACATTGAGAAGAAGAAGCGTGTCACCATTGGCGTGGAGCTTTGCGCAAAACCCGAATTGGTGTTGTTCCTGGACGAACCGACCAGTGGTCTTGACAGTCAGGGTGCTTCAAGTATTGTGGCCTTGCTCAGGAAGCTTGCCGATCAAGGCTTGGCTGTGCTTTGCACTATCCATCAAGCGAATCAGGAACAGTTTGAAGAGGTATAGATCCTCTCGCTGAACTGACTAGATGAAAAGTACTAACGAGACCAGTTTGACCGCGTCCTAGCCCTAAGTCCCGGTGGTAACACCTACTATTTCGGCGAAGTAGGAGACTCAGGCCGTGCAATCTTCGAATACTTCGGCCGACACGGCTACCGGCCTAAGAACGTGACCAACGCAGCAGACTATCTCATCGAGATTGTCGTCGGTGGTATGAAGGAAGCCGAAAAGAGCGTCGATTGGGTCGACGTGTGGAACCATTCCACCGAAGCGGCGGCAGTCAAGGCTGAGATCCAGACCATCCGAGGGCAAGGCACAGTTGCAGCGGTTTCACCCACCATCGACAAGCCCACCTCCCCGTCATTCTACCGCCAAGTCAAGCTCCTGACCAGTCGAACCCTCCGACAGTACTGGCGCAGCCCCGAGTACCCATATTCGCGCCTCTACGCCTCCTTCGCTCACGCCCTCCTCGACGGCCTAACTTTCTATCAGCTGGGCAACAGCTCCACCGACCTGGAGTCCAAAGCATTCCTCTGCTTTTTGTGCCTGATGCTCGTTCCCGAATTCATCAACGCCATTTCAATGCGCTTCGTCATGAACCGCGACATCTGGCTCGCCCGCGAGGGACCCGCGGGCATGTACGGCTGGGTGGCGTTCAGCACGGCGCAGATCCTCTGCGAGATGCCGCTGGCCATCGGCTCGGGCGTGATGTTCTATCTGATCTGCTACTTCACCGCCGGACTTCCGGACGGCTTTGCCGCGGGATACAGTTTTTTGATGTTCTTCCTGTTCTTCCTGTTTGCCACTTCGTGGGGACAGTGGATTGCCGCGCTGAGGTGAGTTCGCCGTCCGCCATGCCGCTCAAAAGACTTGACTAACAGCGATTGTAGCGCCGACGCAACCATCGCAGCCACCCTGATGCCCTTCTTCATCACCATGTGCGAGCTCTTCAACGGAATCATCCAGCCGCACGACAAGATGCCGGTCTTCTGGAAGTACACCATGTACTACCTCACCCCGTTTACCTATTGGATCGGAGGCGTTCTAACCTCCGTTCTGCGCGGAATGCCGGTCGTCTGTGAGAAGGATGAACTGAGCTACTTCCGCAGTCCGGCGAACATGACCTGTGGCGAGTTTGCGGGCCCGTGGCTGGCTGAGAAGGGCGTCGGCTATTTGTCGAATCCGGAGGAGTCGGGGGTCTGCGGGTACTGCGATTATAATTCTGGCGATGAGGTGAGATTCCAACCGCAACGAACCTGTGAGTAGTTGTACTAACGTCAAGGCAACAACAGTATCTCGCCAGCCTCGGGCTAGACTCGTCGGATATCTGGCCGTACTTTGGCATTTTTCTGGCTTATGTGGTTTTCAATTACTCCGTTGTTTATCTTTTGGTGTATTTGCGGTCGGTGAAGAAGCTGTTCTAAGTTATGGTGTTTGTGGGTGTTTGTGGGTTGAATGATGGATTGGGGAATAGGTTGTATATAGTCATTCGTGGTTATAGCGTTGCAGACGTGGCTTGAAAAGATGGCAATGAGCCTAATAAGACAACAGTCAATTGTGTCGAAACACGCTATTCTTTGCGTCACTAAGTTTTGTCCTCAATAACAACGACCAGCCCATAAAGAACCTATAGAAACACGGAAGCTGTCTTCTCTTCCATGGTATGCAGGCGAAGGGATGAACATCCATGCGTGTCTATACTGGCAACATTGACCATTATGCATAGTGGTTGGCTTTACGCCTGAATCTGTAGTATCAACGTCTTCCGAGCTTCACCGCACAATGTGTAGTCAGATCAGAGCGTCTGAACTTCGCGTAGCCTTCCTTATTTATCCACGGCTATCACTGCCAACCAGGCTGTGATTGACGCTCAGTCGCGATGTCGTATTTACATCCGTGAGGGTCAAGAGATCAACAAGCTCTGTCAGAGCGTTGAGCATATTGGTTTGGAGATCTAGCATTGAATCGCTGTGTTTGAGTTGTACTCTAGGTAAGAGGGTGGCGGCTCCTCAAAACCAATCTCAAGCTCTTGGAGGATCTGTCGGTAGACGAGATCGTGCTCCATCACTGTATAGGGAGACATGTAGACTCGGAAAGGGATGGCGCCGACGATCTAAGTAGCGTTGCCAAACTCCAGGGTCAGTATACAATTCGTCGACACTGCAAGCATAGACCGAAGAAAGACGGACGGAGCTGGATCACGGCTCATACCTTTTTTCTCTGAGCACGCTCAGCCTCGAACTCGACTTCAAACTGCAGCTTATGATGCACCTGAATTACTTCCGTCTGTAGGTCCTGTGTGCAGGCCTGGAAAGTCTGCGGCAGATGAACGAGTGCTGTGGCTGCCCATTCGCAGCCCAGAAGATCGGATGACTGCGCGGTGGTATATTTAAGATTCTCATACGTTTCGCGCACGACCGCATGCTCTTTTCGTGTGATAGTGGACAGGACGCTGTTGTATGTAATGGAGTCGGACGCCGTTGGGGTAACTTTCAGTAGGTGTGTCTCCAAGACTTGGAGGGTTATTTTGCCCAGGGAGAAATCCTTTCGCGGTGCATGAAACTCAACTTGGACTGGAAAGGTCGCTCCGAAAGGGACTTCGGTGCTGAAAATCGATATCCGGTACCACATGCTCTCATCTATCAGCCCTTCTACTGACTTCAATGGCTAATTGCGTCAGTATGAGCGCTAGTACTGTGAACAACTTGATAGGATACTCACAGGGACGACTTGATCGAGTATATCGCTTTGTAAGATGTGAGGAAGGTAATGAAGCCGAATGGGATGCGCACTAACGACGTCTAGGTGAGAATTTCGATGTACCATAATGCCCTGGACCTCGTATGAATGATACTTGTGACCGACACCAGTGACGGTCTCCGGCATTTCCCGGCTCAGCGGTAACTCGAATGGCAACACATACATCCCTCGCGGCATGAGGAATGAGTTGTCTCTTGACGTGGCCAATGTTTGACTGCGCTCGAAGGTAATGCCTCCCTGGTAAGACTTTGCAGAATGGTCATCGCGCGGTCTGAGGTAAGTCAGGTTATATTGTAAACCGAGGTCATGTTCACTCCCGATGCCCACTCACATTCTTAGGCTCCCGACTAGTCTAACGCTGATGGCTTTCACCGATATATCTTTAAGAACGTACAAGCATAATGTTCCACTCACGGAAGATATGCCTTCTGGCGCTGCTGAGCTGCCTGAGATGAATATGCAGGACCGATCCACTCTGGCGACAGAAGATTTTACCTTTTCAACCGCGGTTTTGCATGTTGAGTTAAAGAGTATTTCCTTACCTCAGCACAGACCGCACTGGTTTTGTCCTGAACATGTTCGTTTGCTTCCGAATGCTATTCTTCCAGAAGATGTAACACGAGTTGACTAAGATAACAATTGATGGGTGTGGGCGATCGTATAACCCTTAAATAACGATCATCGAACCTATGTATGACGCATATGGTCATTGCCCAGCAGACATCAACACGATGATCTGGAAATTCGACCGTAACGAAACCGAGGAGGACTGGAGAAGGTTTGCCATATAGAAAGTAAGAATACTGCGAGAAAGCCTTCGTCGTGGTCGAGTAGTATAGCCTCCAGCTCTCGCTTCTCCATACAACTCGGGGTTTTCTCTCTAATCTGCCCGGTCTCGGAAAGAATTCCCTTGGGGCCTCCCGATGCTCGGGAACATTTCCCCTTCAGAATCATATGACGTTGTGCCTACCCCACAGCAGACAAGCAGTGCCCGGTGCAGAAAGCACTACAACATCCTCCGTACGCCATGGAAGATGTCGGTGGGTTTCCCGTATTTCAGAGCTATCTTCCTTGCTCCTTGTTCCTTATCTATTGATTCTAGTCAGCGGACTCCTTTGCTCCACTCCTTGGTGCACACTCATATTCAAAGCTTGCTCTGAACCACATAAATCCCCACCCATGCATATTCTAATACGCACGATTCACCTTCAGGAAGGAGGAATCAATTCGAGTGGCTAATCTTCTCAGGTTGTCAACGACGACGGGCCCCCTTCGCGGGATACATCCCCGTATGTGCATTCCCTGGTTCACGAACTCCAAACCCAAGGACACATCGTGACTGTGGTCTTGCCAAACCAGCAACGTTCCTGGATCGGGAAAGCCCACTTCGTCGGGGAGGTGGTCAAGGCGACGTATCTCTCCCCTGGCGAACTGTTCCAGTTCGAAGGCACCAAGCACCAAAGCCCTCCAGGACTATCCAATGCCACCACCAACAGCAGCAGCATTGGGGTGCAAAATCAACGTCCATGGATGCTGGTCAATTCGACCCCCGCTGGTTGTGTGCAGATCGGGCTGCATCACTATCACTCTTACTAGCAGGAGGGCAAGCCCATCCCAATCGACCTGGTGGTATCGGGCCCCAACCTCGGAGCGAACGCCACAGCTCTCTTTTCCCTCTCCAGTGGCACAATCGGCGGGGGCATGGAGGCTGTCCTGTGTGGAAAGAGGTCCATTGCTTTATCCTTTGAGCCCGCTACAAAACACGACGTCTGCAATCCGGTGCAGATTACAGATGCATCTAGGCATGCCATACGTCTGATTGAGCATTTGTACCGCAGCTGGGACCAAGGCGTAGAACTCTACTCCGTGAACATACCGCTGCAATCTGATCCCAGCGGAGACAGGAAGGTCGTGTATACTCGGATCCGACCGAACCGTTGGCTGGCAGCCAGTCCGTTTCAAGTTGTTTCGCCGTCGGGTGATGCAACTACGCAGAACGCGGATTCGCCTCTGCTACTGCGTTCGTCAGATTTGTGTCGTCCCTGAATGATTCAGCATACTTATCAATTTCGCGGCTCCAGATTTGACTAGATCTGGAGTTTAGGAGTAGCGGCATCAATATAATCCATATACGCCGCATACACTAAAAACCATCATCTTGAATGTTGTTGTCCTTTGACTATTCAAAGTGGGTCCGAAGCATGCGCACCCCCTTCGAAGGCCTCGCTACAATTTCCCCTTGAAGGAAACCACGTGACGTGACATTCCCAACCCCGCATACACCCATGGCGATTTTTTTTGGACAAGTGCTACGTAACCTTGTTCTTCTGGCCTACTGTCCAATGTGCCCGGGCCGCCACCGTGTTACGGTCGGCTCTGGACCCTGCGTTGGCTGTCAATGGCATAAAAGCCGAAGACCTCCACTTTGGCGCCGATCGGCTTCCCTTTGGGGGCTGATATAGATAGACGCCGCGAGCTAGGGCAGTCACAAAGTGAGACACATCTCCAGATCAAGAGACAGAGAAGTAACTGGCAAGATGAAAGTTGCTCAGAATTTACCTATCCTCCCTAGCAGAAGGAAGCAATTCGTGCTCAGACCGGGCCATCTACTGTAGGAGAATGGATTTATTAGCCATTTTAGCCGAAAACTATGGATCGCTCCTGATATGACATCTACTAGCTAACTGATCGATCTTATTTTGTCGCTAGGTCTGAGTCGACAGAGCACTGCGCATGGTAGTAAGATGGCTTCCCGGCGCGATCGGTCCCTGGTATATCATCGATATTTTTGATACGAAAATTCAACTCATGATTACACTGGGTTAGACCTGTATGCACACTTGTTGATGGCAAGCAAAACAAAAACATACAACAGAAGGGATTCGCTGGTGGTCACCCACCCAACTACTAACCTCCCGGCGTGTGGCTTAAGTACGGCTGAGCGGACGGGAAGCCCTGTTTTCCACACCCTGTGGTCGTATGTGCTTATTGTATCCACGGAAAAGTATATCAGGGCCAAGTTACACTTGATGGTGCCTAGCACGGTTCGAAAGAGTTGGACTTACATGGAGAAATGAGAGCCTGGAAGAAAGCCACCTACTAAGCCAAAAACATCCATGGTAACATTCACCTCCCCCCGTCGACCTTCTTTTATTGTATTTGACAGGCTGACCTGACTTATTCTTGGATTCTTAGCTTAAGCATCCTGTCTATTATATACGTTCGTCATCAGTCACTCTTACCTATTGAGCACTTTAATTGGAATTCGGGATGCCATTCCGACTTTGACGTCGCGTTCCATCATATTCCCGCAATGTAATCGTGTAGTCCTTGTTATCGGATCCTCTTACATCTACTTTCTCCTACAATCCTTAGCGCCCTCAGTGTACTCCACGTCTTCCGAACTCGCTTTCTCGCCTTCGGGCCTCGGGATGGATAACCTGATCGGTAGCATCATCAGAATTGATAGGCGGAACTATGTCATCCACGAGATATTTTCCGAAAACCGGAAAGACGAACATCACGAGGAATGGGTGGTCTATGAAGCCACATGCCCTAATGACAATACGATCCACAAGAGCACGCGCAGATACGCCCTTAAGGTGCGTTACGGGTAAAGTTTCCACTTCATCCTCCTGGACCTTTCTATTGAAGTGCAATGGCTGAAATCTCAAATACAGGAGAAGAGCGCGCGGAATCAGTGAGACCGAACTGGATGCCACCGAGGCTTTGGCCAAACATTCTTACAACGGCGAGTGCCGGGCGCTCAGCATATTCTCGGAGTCCGGGTACACCCCGGTATTCTACGGCAGCGAGGAACTGTCTTCCGATCAGAATCCGTTTTTCCGGCATGGGCATGTCTGGGCGATGGCCATGGGGCTGGCGGACGGCACAAGTCTTGTTGATCTTTCCGATTTGAGTTACTCCGACAAGGTGATCATTCAAGAGGAGATGATCAAGGCCTTGGAGTAAGTCTTCTGGTGGCCAGAGCTTGACGGCTTTTATATCGCCGTGTGGGCTGAGAATCTTGTTCTTGGGAATATAGGTACATGCGACTCCGAGGTTGGGGATGGTACATGCCGGAGACGGAGCAAATCTTTTATGACCATACTCGGCGATCGGTGTACGCCTACAGGACCCAGTTGACTCTCAACTGTTGTTGTTTATCTACTGATGAGAGAGACTCTGCAGTTCTATCGTTGTACTTTCGCGGGCTGTAATTGATGATGACGACTGTTCTGCCCCGCCGCCTGAGGATCGCATTACCAGAGATCATCCAGAATTCATTTCTTTCGGTATCAACTGGCGGGTGTGAACTAAAAGAATCTGTCCCAGACTTGACAATGGTGATGCAGATGTGGGGAATCAGTATGCCCGAAATATGGGCAAAGAGTCTGATCATCGCGAAATCGTGGCACTTATTCAGTGTGGACAGGCATACTCATCATGTATTGGTGGTGAACAGTATGCCCCTTGAGAAAGGTGACTTTTGTTTGACGGTAATCTTGCACATTATAGCTTCCCAGGCTAATGAAAGTAACTTCAAGGGACCATCTGAGAGTCTCCCGGCGACATTACCTTAGTGAAGACCCTCTGCGTCCAAAGCTATGACTTCCCACAGACGATGATTGGATTAGAACGGCATTGTAATTTTCTACGGATAAAGTCTTGAAGAAACAAAAAAAAAACCCTTGATTGACTACTACCATCCTTTAAATCGACTTCGTTAGAGATTGTGTTCTCGTGGAGCCAGGATCTGCAACAGACTTCGACTATGTCGCTCCGGCAGCCCGTCCACATCGTCGGTGGGAATCCTTTGGGAGGCAAAGGCCAGGAAGACTGCTTCCCAATGCCCATCGGCAAACTGAATCAGCAAGCCCCCGTCCTGATACACGCCATTGTCGTACCGAGGAAGACTACCTTGGTTCATATGGACATCATGAATCCCGGATCCGAAGGATGAGCCAAAGATAAACACCTTTGCTGAGCTCCTGATTGCTCGATCTAGAATCGGCCGGACGACGTCCAGAATATCATTATCACGGCCAGGAATATCATGCGGCAGAACTCGTCCAGATCCGAGATTCAGAAGGTTGCGCAGTCGCAGATAGTCTAGTCCCACGAGATCTCGAGCACGACCACGAGGATCCGGGATCGAATGAAAGCCCTGATCCAGCTGGGCAAGTTGAATAGTGATAGGATGAGCAAAGTCATCAGAAGACCAGAACACCAAGCGAGAGTCTTCTCCGTTCGATTTCACATTAATGGCGGCCTTTCGCTCCCTCCCGGAGTCGTCATCTTTGAAATAAAGCTCGATGTGTGGAGTGCGTACGCCATGTCGCTGGGCAACATACCGAGTCGGCTTACAAACCCAGACACCGTAGTGGGGAACGGGCATGTTGCTTTAGATATTGGGATAAATTGCTGATAGAGAAAGGATTTATGGTGTTGGAATGGATGTAAGAATGAGTCCAATTATATTCTAGGCAATCCTGGTTTCAGCGTCCGGGCGTGGCTACTTATAACCGCTTCAGAAGATATGCCGAAGGTGATGGAGGGGCGGCAGTCGGATACCGTTGGTAGCCTTTCGTAGCAAGTGTGGTAATACGAGCTAGATACGGGCCAGACCGCCAGTAGCTGCTTTAATCTCGTAATATGGGAGCTTGTTTCGTCATGCTTGTTACGAGAAGTTTATGCAACTTCCCGCCGCTCGTGTAGCGGTTGCACAGCCATCCTCCTATGATTTCCTGAATGGCTTTAATACACTGCTGGCGTTTTAAAGTTGCCAGTAGAAGCATTCTATATAGTCGCGCCACTTATGTACAGCATGTAGCTTCGTATCACTTTCTTTGAATGTTCTTGTCACTCATACGCTTGCCCCGCTCCCCAAATCTTGGGTTGGATCTAGACTCGTCTTCCGTCAAGATATTGCCCATGCCGCGATACACATTTCAGAAGCTCAAGTCTCATGACAATCATAGTTTGAGCTTGAATGATCAGACTCAAACAGTACACAACCATACGAGACCCTGACGCAGAAGCGTATCCTAAAATGGCTCATTCCACCCAAAATAGTGGGTAGTTGCGAGTGCTATCTTAGCCCATCATTCTGAAGATACAAAGCCTCTATATGTGTGGCATACGGCACAATAATCCAGCCCGTCTTTTATCCTTCACATGCTACCTTCCCAAAGACTAGACTCCACAGAGCAGTGGCATCGAGGACAACTTGGGCGGTCGGCATTGGCAATCCTGTGCAAGTTTTGTCCCCTAGAAACCAGCCCCGGTTCTTACCACCACTACAGTACACCATGTTGCTTGAGACGAGTATGACTCTGGCCGTCTGAGAGAGATGCCAATGTAACACTTTATTATAATGTGAGATCAAACGAGCCCATCCGCCATGCCCACTTGCAGGGGACTGCCTGAGGAGCACAAGGGCAAAGTGTGATGGGTGCGTGAGCTGGACGCTGAGAGGGGGCCCGCCAAATAGGCACAAACTTAGATTTGTTCCCAGCTTGTAGCAGTTGAGGCACTTATCACTTAAGATACATCCTCTATTGCCTGTGTCGAGCTTATTTCAACCCGCGAAGTGCATTCCAAACAAGACTGGTAGAGGTTGTGAACCGTAATGTGGCTGGGCCGAAAGCCTGGGGCCTTATCCTGTAGGAAAGCGGATTGACAGGAGATTGACTCTTCAGGTGATGATATTTCATCAAAGGCTACTAAAGGAAAATACATCGTGGCTCAAAAGCTACGGTCCTTACTAACCTGACGGTCGGCCTATGTAAACAGTGGCAGAGATAGAAGACAAGAGGCAGTGCAGTTCTCCGAACCACGGACTGGCTGGCTATGCTAGTAGGCAAGGAAACCATTCGGTCCAAATTTGGTAAATCAGCTTGACACCGCAGAGGTGGAAAAAAATGTACTTTTGAGGATGCCAATAACCGGCCCGTGTTGAGGTACGCTCCCAACAACGCAGTCCTGTTCGTCTTCTTGGTTTGGAAGCATGCAAAACTGGGTATCGACCAGGACCAGCATTTCCTTCGATTTGAATCACTACTCACGACGCCGGATGCGATCGTGGATCCTTAGCATAGCGTGACGAGGACCCTCGATAGCCTGGTCTATCAGTTTCCGTCTGCGATGCTATCCATACTCTGTCAGCCTCTCCGTCAAGCTGGGGCACGAATCCGCTCCGCAGATCATCTATCGGCGATTGATTAGCCCATTTCGACCCTTATCAGAGCCCTGGGGAGGGGCATCATACCTCTCGTCTCTCCGCAAAATCCTTATAGAATCCCAACCAGAGGTCACGAGCCCGGCAATCCAGCGCGCCCGTCACAGTATTAACATCACAATCCGGTTGTTCCTTTTCCATCACCGCCGCCGGGGTCTTGATCCAGGGCTTCGACACGGGCCCGTCGGAGAAATGCAGATACTTCGCGTCCTGCAGGATCACATCGGGATCCCAGGTCGCGTGGGGACTGCCCAGATAACCCGCGTGGTTTTTGGCTCGAAACTCCCCGGTCAGCAGGTGGTACGGACGGTGCGGGATGACAATCGCGGAGTCACGGTAGAGGTTGTTCAGGACATTTGTGTCGGATTCGGCATTGTCATCCTGCTGGATTGCCTTCCACACGCGATTGAATTCTATCTCCGAAGGTTGCACGAGCATGAAAGATGGGGTGAGCTGGCGGTATTCGGAGTCCAACCAGTAGGCGCGGGGCATTGCGATCGGACTTTCAAGGAGCGAGTAAAGTTCATCAAGATTCTGCGGCTAGAGTTAGCAACGATCTCTTCTGCTTCGAGATGACCGGGTGAGAAGAGTGCAGCATGCCTTGAGGATAACACCAGCCGCATCCAGAAATAAGATGCGGTCGTACTGTGTCATGTTAAACATCAAAAGCTTGGTGTGGCTCTCTGTCCCTGTCAGTGCGTCTTTTGTCAGCTCTGCTCAACCTGTCTAATGGCAGCTAGTGCGCTTACTACAGCCATTCGATGGGATCTGACCTTCGATGGGTAGAAGCTTGACATGATACTCAGTTTGTGCTTTGAGCAGCAGTCTGCCCTCCGTAGAATCGCTCGCTGGGTCCCAGTGCGAAGGATACAGAAACACTCTATCGGCTTGGCTGCCCAGACGATCATGAGACTCAAACTGCATGACTGCGCTGCATAGGTCCGGCTGGCTGGTTGCATACTGCACGACCGCGTACTGCGAAAAGTCGATGTTTGTAGAGTTACTCGCACTATTGCCGCCGTAGAGACTGGCCAAGACTAGCGATATCCAATATAACACAAGCATGACGATGGCCCAGAGACTAGGACTGCCACTGCGCGGGCAGAAAGCCAAACTTCGCTGCGATTTAATCATATCTATGCGCAATGTGCATCCAGCCAGTGGGGGTGGGGGGATGAAGAAAGTGAGATTCAATGCGGTGGAGGGAAGAAGTTTCAGCTAGCATGAAGTGTAGTCAAACGAGACAAAGGCGTAATGCACCGCGTTCTCGTCTGGATCTGCTGCTGGTGAATGCACAGCTTGGGGCACATTGAATGATGGGTTCTTTGTCCTCGGCATTGATCGTTTGTTGAACCACGGTTCACTGGTCCCTTTCAGCGTTCTTCGAGTTAGTCGTGATTACACTCATGTATTTGTTTATCGCTACTGGGACTAAGTTTTTCTTTAGAATCGTATCGTAAAAACTCTTGAAGTGGCACAAGTTGACCCTGTGCAAAGGCAGAATTGCGGTTACTGCCTCTCTTTGGAATTCATTGATATCTCTATGGATGCAAACGCAAATTCTTTGCTGGAGAACATATCATTGACTGCGCTTCTCGGTGTCTTGGTTTTCAGGTGACTTTTTCATCATTTTTCATCTTTGCCTCATTTGCTCCATATTGTTTGCTTTGACCATAAATTGTCATTTTTTCCAAGCTCTACCTCAATCTCAGAACGGGCAGATCGTCCTCCCCGCTCAATACCATTCTGATTTTATACTGTAGCAGGAGTTTTAGTACTTGAGCAAGGCGAAGCAGGGTGATTGAAACTGGGCATGTCCTTCTTGATGTATGGCCAGAGTCAGTATTGGCACATGTGTTAGTGAAGGCCCACGGAGATTGGCAACTATCGATATTATGAAGCTAAGAATCATATACCGCAATGTTTCTGCACTAGACAAGAGTCGTACCATTTTTAAGCACAAGCAAAGATCCAGAAATTTGTAGGGCAAGGGTCTCTACAGAATTCTCAACCTCTCCCATCTCCGAAGAGCTTCGGTATAGCGAGAGCGCAGTCGTTCCAGCCTGGCCCTCATGCGAGCGTCAGACTCGTCTTCCCCGGCGATAGCATTTAGCTCATCATCGTCCAGCTTAGCAAACGTCTCGATTGACACCGCTAGCACCGGACATTTCGGGCCCAAGACATGCCGCTCGATTACCTGCATGGCCACATTATCGATGAAACGATGCAAAGCGATCATGTAGTAGGATTGAAGTCTTGCACGCACGAAAAGCACCTGGCTCAGGATGGTCGATATAAACTGTGGACGGTCTGTCTGCGTGTCGCCAGTGCCATTGGCTCTTCGATCTTCTGATGCGACTTTCGTCTTTTGACCTAGAAGAATCCTCCCGCGACTTTGATCCGCAGAGATCGTGTCCAACAGCAACTGCGGGTTGCGAGTCACCAACGGCCTCGCTCGGTTGTCTTCCAACAGCTCCCCAAGGGCTGTGTCGATATGTTTGTGCCACTCGTCCATAGTCTTCCCCAGTAAGCGGCTGACCTCCAAGCGCACCTTGCTGTTTGGGATGGCAATGCGGAAAAGTACCTCATGACAGGCCTGCACGAGTTGCTTTACATCGTCGACAAATTTTCGGGCAATCCCTTCCCAGTGCGTCGACTGCCTCCGAAAGATCTTTTCCTCTACATCCGGATGCACCGCGCCGGGCAGACTGCGGCCTTCACTGATCTTCGCCTCTTTGTAGATCTCCGCGTACAGGCCCGGGGTTTTACGAACTATATCCTCCCAGACCTCAGGGTCCGAACTCGTCGAGTTCAGGACAGCCAGGTCTTTGTCGAAATCGGAGAAAGGCAATGGCATGTTGTGTACGTCTGACATTTCCTTGTAGAACTGGTCGAGGCGGCGTTGCACCTCATACCGCAGCATGATCCGGGAGTCCTGAGACGGCACGTCTTGATACTGGCCTCTCAGCGTCGCCTCGGCCATCCGCTGCATGTCGTTGCAGAACTGAAAGACAAAGTAACGCTGGGCTTTGGGCTCGTCGCGTGCGTCGCCCATGCGTCTGAGGTCTGACTCGCACTCGCGCAGCTTCTGTCGGATCTCCGCCACAATTTGGGGGATCCCAGCCTGGATCTGAGCCCGTCGCTCCCTGTCGACATACTGCATGAGCGCTTGGATGCCGGTCCGGTCCTTGTCCACAGTTTCCCAGTCTTTCTTTGCGAATTCGGCTCTTTCGCGCTCGTCTCGCTCCGCATCGGTGATGTGCGCTTCGACGGGGACTCGGTTTCGCAGACCGAACCACCCGTGGTCCAGATGAGGGACTGTCGACAAACCATTCTGCAAAAGTTGAATCATCTGCGGTAGGATAGTCAGTCCTGTGCGACGTAGCGGAGAGCACGCGATACACACCCAATTATCAGACCCTTCTTGTTTGCGGTCGCATTTCGTTAGCACGCCGATACACCGTCGTTCCAGCCCCGGGAGATCTTCCATCACCTCCCACACCCGATGTCGCTCGACATCGACGTTGTCCATAACAATTCTGTCGGGCGCTCAGCCTTATGCTTGCCAGTGGTGAAGCTGTGACGGGTCAGACTTACAATACGATATTCCGTTCGTTTTCAAGGTAAGTCCGAGCCAGCTCCCACGCGACCGCAGCATTCATTCGCTTCTCATCCTCAGTCTCTCCATGGATCCTACTGACACTATTCTCCTTTGTGCCTTTCTTCTTGTCATCCTTCCGTATAAGGCCCGGAAGGTCAACAATAGTCCAGTGCATCTCGTCTGGACCCGATCTCTCAATGCGCAGGGTGGCATCACTCAGACTCAAGGTCTTGCCACGGTGGTCGCCAAAAATGCACTCCGTCGCCTACACAGCACATCAGTCGTTCTGTCAAGTGACTTCTGTTAATAGAGGCAAACCTTTTCAATAATTCCACTCATGTCTTCCGGACCCAGCGCTTTCTTCTCAATCGCAAATTCCTTGATGCGAGCGAGCAGCGCCTCGTCACCCTCCGACTGCCGCCCTGGCACAATCGTGGCCTTGATCGGAAACTCCTTGGCCACGGAGGTTTGTCGAAAGGAAATCTGCGTTGGGAATCGAGTGCACGTTCCGGCCTTGACAGGGAAAGAGACTTCGGTGATGGCCTGAAGCACGGAGCTTTTTCCTGTGCTCTGGTCGCCAACCACCACCAGCTTGTCGGCATGAGCGATTGTCACAATTTCAACTGTTATGTGTGTGGACTCACCTCCGGCAGATTGATAGTGCTACTCAGCCCAAGCGCCTGAAGCTCATCGATGAAGGCCAGCTGCTCCGAGCTCTCGACGCCCACGAAATGACGCACTCTTCCCATTGTAGGTTGGTCAGTTCTGGTCGCGGGGGGTACTGTACGGGTGTGTGAGATCATTCCCTTTGCTTCTGCGAAACTCCGCACTCCCGGTTGCGGGAATCATTCCCACTTTAAAAATTTCTCTAAGCGCCAATTTAGAATAAGTAATTTCTGGGAGTGAGGGGTGGCCCCCAGCCACGGCCTTGTCCGCTGTCGAGTTGCAGGGGGTGATGGGACTACTGTAAGTCCTAACAGCCGCTATCCAGCTACCCCTGCATCCGCGCGATGCTGTCATTTGTGGATAGATTGATGGCGCCTCACTAGCCATGATAGCGAGTCATGGATCTGAGGTACACTATTGGTCACCAGCTTTATCTCAGGAGAGTGACCGGGAGTGTATGACAAGGAGAAAAGTGCTGAGGTTGTCTATTGGAGAATGCTGCCAGGGATATAGACACGTATGCGTGCACAGCCCAGCATGTCCATCCACCACGACCAGGCACGGCAGGTTTTCTTTGGACGCTATATCTGGAATACTGCATCTGGTTTTTGGTCTCATTTTGGAGGTTGGAAAAACAGAAGGGCTTACTCAGTGCGGCTGGTGATCTGCGAGATAGAGATGCTCTACTATTCAAATAAGACAACGGTCAAGGCACATGACAAAATTGACTCAGGGTTTAAAATCAGACCTCCTAATAACACTTCCACCCCTTCAAAAGCAAACCAGGGTCAGATACACGCAATCCTGAGACCACACTAACATGCCAGGATCACACTACACCCATTGGCTAGACTAGACACCACCCGCCGCCCTAACAAGAAACAGCTCCTCATACGAGCCACGATCATTCTTCAACCTCTCCCCACAGAACACATCGTTCACCCCATTTCCATCCTTATCAACCAGCCTCCAACCGTGACCCACCCGCAAAACGCCCACGAAAGCCCCAACAACCAACGCAATCATCCTAGGCCCAAAGACCGCCTTAGCGGGACATTCGAACGACGCACCACCAAAAGACAGGTACGCCTGCTTCTGCACATCCATGACAGCCCGCCAGCGCAGTGGATTATACTTCAGCGCATCTTGTCCCCAGACTCGACCCGCCAGATGACAAGCCTCCACGTCCGCGGCGAAGGTATCCGAGTGTCTCGCACCGTTCTCCTCCCATTCGAACGCACGGTAGATCCGCTTGGTCAGAGGGTACAGTCGCAATCCTTCCGCCACTAGATCCTTGGCGGAGACGTTGTCTGCTCCCGGGGCTTCGAACTGTGTCTTCGTGGGGTTTTCTGCGAAAGCAATCATCGTGGCCGTCCAGTCGGGATGAGTCTGGCCCATGTTGAGCAGGAGTTCCAGGACCATGCGCAGGTTGATGCGCCAGCTTGTCTCGAAGCCGGGGAGGATCCAGCAGAGTGGGTTATCGCGGGGGTTGGTTCCGTCAAAGGTAGGAAACAGCGCGGAGAGGGAGGCTTGGAGGCCGGGGTTATCGGCAAATTCGATGGGGTCGACGTCGTTCTTGGAGGACACCCAGGCGCGGTTGATGGCCTGCGCTAGGGAGACCATGTGCTTTTCGGCGTCGGGGAGGGTGTCTAGCTCCGCGTTGAGCAGTGTGGTCAGGATGATCCGGAGTGAGAGGGACTAGACTACGCTTGCGAGGTGGAGGCGGTGCGCTGTGCTGATGAGCTCGTTAGCTTTGGATTGGAGCGACTTGGCCAGTCGTTCCCAGTCTTGCGCTTTGAGGTTGATCAGATTCCTTGCGTTTCTGACGAAATGGGTTGCGTACTCTTCGTCCGGGGTGGTAAAGGCGTTTTCAATCCCAAAAACGAAGGCTAGTCGGGTGTTTGGCCGAATTCGCGCGCGATGAGGCGAGAGGAAGTTCCTGCGGGCTCTGAAACGATGTGCTTGAATGAGGGTGCGACATTCTGTTGGCTGATGGGTTTTGTTGCGTGGGCTGTTCAAAAAACTGATCGTGAAGAGGCCGACAGCGATGACATTGATGGCGCTGAAGATGAGTATCAGCAGATTCAGTGCGCGGAAATCTCGCATCATGGTGGATATGGTCTTCGAGGAAGGGAGTTCGGGGGTGTTTCTGGAGAGTTGATGGTTTGTCATGGAAGAGATTCAGAGACATGGTGATCAGGCAGAAGGACTTTCTGTCTCAATCTATCTTTGTCATGCCAACGTGTGTGGTGAATGTGCTGAGCTGGGGGGTCTTCTGGGATCCCACATGAGACATGTGGCACGGAGATAAAGAGTGCGGGGAAAGGAGATTAATGCAATCTAACAGCATAAGAGATTGATATTACTATAAAGCTGTACCATGGTTGAATGGATGTTCATAGATGGGGGAGTTAGGGCTAGCTTAATAGGTGAATGAATGTATGTGGATGTGCGTTGCAGAGACTGCAAAGAAAGCCACACCTGTGCGTACACGGTGTTCTCTGTTGCAAGGAGTTTTGGTGGAATGCACCAGCCGAATACCTATATCTGCACTTGTGATATAATACAGGAAGTTATATAGCTCTTTCATTAGCTTGCATGACTCTGGTCTTTGAATGTCTTTTGGAAATCGGAATACTTGCTTTGGGGGTGAGGAACTGTTGTTGTGGTAAGCAATTTGATTGAACCTTTCTTCAAGGCCAACCGTTTTTTTTTCTATTTTATTGGTGGTTTTTTTTTGTTTTTTCTTTTTTTTTTGGTTCATGTTGTGGTGTTTTTCGAGAAGCCACGCTTAACGTGCTCCATTCTCATGTGGTTTTTTTTGGTGTTTGCTGTTTTTGCTTCAGCGAGGCTTCTGAGGATCAGGCAAGATAGAGAAATTTACTCCACCTCGGACAACTCATCTTCCTCATCATCCTCGTCTTCCTCATCGTCGTCGTCTTCATCGTTATCACTAAGCTCTTCAACTCTAGGGCCTACAATGTGGTCATCACCCCCGGCATCATTCGAGCGACGGTCAGCGACCCACTCTTCCCACCAAGCCACCTCAGCCTCATGGTCGTAGGTCACCCCCTGGGGCGGAGGGCAAGGCGGTTCATCGTTCTGGAGCTGCGCGCGCACGATGCGGATTTCCGCCTCGACCAGGTCGGAGTGAGCGTCGGGATCACCGGCAATCAGCGCGGCACGCATCGCCTTGATGACCCCGACGAGGTGCAGATCCAGCTCGCCTTCCAGGAGCAGCGGGTGGCCTCCTTGGCGCATAGGCTGCAGCAACTGCATACAGACACGCAGGAGCTCGCGGTGCCAGAGGCGGGTCAGCATGTAGCGATCCTTCTCGTCGAAGTCGCGCGCGTGCAGGACGACAAGGGCCTCGGTCCAGCAGGCCGGAGTGGGCATGACGAAGCCGGTGCCCTGGCGGTGGTGGTGGCGGCGACCCGTACGAACCTGGTCGGACCACATGTAGTAGAGATCGTCGGGGCGAGGGTTGAGTGGCGGGTCCGCGAAAAACCACATGTACATGGACTTGCGGTAAATGCGCACGGTGAGCCTGGGCCAGGCGCCGGTGCGGATCATCGCCTCCTCGTTGGGCGTGTGCCAGTGCACGATGTCCGTCGGGGGGTTGAGAAAGCCGATCACCGAGACGCAGTCGCGGCCGAGGGTGCAGGGGTGCGCCCCGCGGTTGCGTAGGGCCGCATAGGCGTTGGGAATGTACCGGTCCGGGATCACAAAGCCCGCAAAGTCGAGGCTCTGTCGGGCAATGAGGTCAACGATAGTGTGGCTCATCCCGAAGGAGTCGGCCACCGGCCACCCGAAGACACAGTAGGGGATGCCTGCCCGCTCCAAGGTGGTGACTATGAAGCGGCTCTGGTCCATGGTGGTGGTTGTGGGTGAAAGTGTGAGGAAAGGCTAGAACGCTTGCGTGTTTCAAACTGCCGGAGTTCTTCACCTTGTGGATCGGGTTTGCATGAAAAGATCGACAAGACGTATCAAGATGTCGGAGCTCTATTTATATCTCACACTTTCTACTGGAGGAGTCCTTCCTCGAGCCCATTTAGCAAGAATTCTCCAGCAATGTATGCGGCTCTGCTCATAGTATGTGTAAATCTCCTCGGAAAACTCCGTACTGTGCATGTTCTGGTGTAAGCACCGGGCTGATGATGTTTCAGACGCAGCCGAGATACTATCTGCAGGATTTTCTCGGCTGATCTGCAAGGAAAAGACAGACGTAGGGGATTTGCTTCCTACCAGGTTCTCTCTTTCATTGCTCGATTCAAAGATGTTGAAAGCCCTTTCCTGCTATTGCTGATTTTGTTGTAGGCTGACGTGACTCGGAATTCAACGATTGCGAGCTGGAGAACGGCACTTGATATGACTTTTGATGTTTTCATCCGAATGACTATGTGTAGGAACCGGCAGTTAGACAACTTGGTTGCGGTAAATGTGTCACATTGAATATCAGAGCTCCGACGTCCAGTAACTTATTTTATAATGGTCTTTGTACTTTGATATTGCTATCAGAGCCAACAGCAATTGTCTCAAGAATAACCAGCTATGTCATTTGGAATCGTGACGTTCCGGGTATGCCCTCTATGTTCTTCAGAAGGCACTAACCCTAACGATTAGCACTCCACTATAGAGGTTATCGAGCAGCATCCAGCACACAATAAACCTAACTTAGGTAAAACTGACCCATTCGGAAAACAAACTCGGCCAATCCTGAGCATCATCGAATAGTCCATCCATACCAGCCCCGAACGCTCCTAAATACCGACCACTACTCTTGGCTTCCGGAACTCCTCCACAGAGGGTGTTACTCTGCTGCACTGCCTCCCAGAACTCCGTCTGTTTGATGCTCCCATTCATCATGGGACACCGTCTGGACGTCGTGCTCGTTGCACCCACACTCGGAGAGTCCGTGCCTTCAGTACCCGAGGGATCCGGATCCGACTGCAAGGGAGAGTTGATCCTGGCGACAGCATATGTTTCCAGAACAACATCCAAGACCGATCTGAACATGCAGAAAATGTCTGGTGTGTCGCCAGTCTTCGAGACGGATAAGGTCGTCATGCGGTGCAAGAGGCTTTCCAGGTATATTTGCATGGTCGATCGCGCCTTAGTCTGAAAATCGTACCATTGGGTGTTCATGAAGGGGTGAGTGAGAAAGCATATCTGTGAGGCAGTGCTGGTTGTAAGAATTAGCTGGCACCATTCCCGGATGGAAAAGTAGATGTATTGGTCTGCTGGTAACGAGAGAAAGTAATCGAAAAATCCTCGGATCTCCGCTAGGCACGATCTTGCTTCCTTCACATGTTCACATGGTTGGAACTCAAATGATCGGGGGTGGTGTGATGATTTAAGGCTGGAGCTTGGGCTATGAACCATCCAAAGGAGATACGCTGTGACTACTTTCAGCGACAGTATCGAGATACGTAGCGAAGCTGGCTTCGTCAGCAAATCTCTGAGATACAGGCATTTGTCCCAATATACCTGTCTCCGGGGTCTCGGAACAGATCTTGCGCTCTATGTCTTGGATCTGCCGGTGAAATGACAGGGAGCAATTGGGGAGATTATCACCCCCCTGCTCAGATGTTCGAGCTACAGTCTCCCACAGCATCTGGGTCTTGGAAAGCAGCGTATGTTGACTGTTATCTTGGTCGATTGGTGCAGTTCCTTCAATAGTAGACTTTATTATTTCATACAGCGTCGAGTCGCTGCGTCGCTGAAAGCCAAGAGCAAATCTAGGAATCTGTTTAGCCAGCTTTCTGATGTCCGAGATTAGGACGGCTCACAGCGAGGACAGGTTATAGCATCCGAGACAGGCATTGCGCGCAGCCGTTTCGTGTAGCTTCTGGTCAAACCTCAGGTCCGACAGCATACCTCGGAGGATTTGAACGTACTGCCACATCTGGTTGTTCAATGGCCGAATGTGTATAGGGTGCCTGGAGGCCACACCAACGTCAGCCACTGCACGCACTATGAAAAGCCGAGGTCTGCAATACCATGCAAGATAGACCAGGAGACCCTGAACGTAGTCTAGGCTTTTGTCTCCTTGGAGAACAATCCTTTCACTCAATACTTGCCGGAATCTCTCATCGAGCTTTCTCTGCAGGAGCGGCCGCCGCGTTGCCGATATAGTGAGAATCGCTAAGAAGAGGAAGGGACGGGTCTTCGCCATGGAGGCGGCTGAGATGTTTTCCGGTACATCCACGAACGGGAAGTAAACTTTTTTCGACTGGAAGTGGGATAGAAGCTCATCTGCCTCTTTCATACTCACACGGAGGTTCTTGTATTCCGTGTTAGATGTCGAGGTTTGAGTGAGAGGCGGCGTGGTAGCACTGTGACTCGTCTCCTGAGCACCATGAGAAGTGTCGTCGCCTAGTAGCTGCTTGCGCATCATTTGGCGATGCAGCTCACACATCTGGGCAGACTGATCTCCGTGTTTTGGCGCGTTCCTGAAAAGTGAGGCGACTACGTCCTCATTCTGGATCTCGCTACTACTGCTCCGCAACGGGTTATTTGTAGATGGATGTTCATTGTTGCTCGAGGTAAGAGTACAGTCGTAACCCAATTTGATACATCTTTCTCCGTCAGTATAGCTCCAATGGATGCTGATGACATCGTGCGCTCTTACCTCCGGCAGGCACTCGACGGTTTCTCAGACGGCAGACATCGGATCTTGCGCGATCTGCAATTCTCACAAGCCCGCGTGCTTCGCGGTCGAGGACACATAAACTTGTATTCATCTTCTGTTGACATCTTTCATATACCGTGGTTGCTACACCTTCACTGTAGCTAAGATGGATAAGGTAGGCTGGGTATTAATAAGGCGGCGGAAAGCGGAGGGAAACTGGAAGCGACAACCCGCCCTCCGGATGGAAGGTTTTGCCGAACCCTTCTTATACAACAACTGGTAAGTTAACCCGGGCCCTGGTCTATAACCTGTCGGATAAGCATCATCAAGAACTTCAACCTGAACAACGCATACTCCCCCCTTGCATCTCAATCCCTTTCAACAAGATAAAAAGGTTCCATTCTTTAACAACTCCTGTGGCGATAAAGCCCTTGTAAACACGATTAGTAGCAGTAGCAGCTCTCTCCTTAGCATCCATGTATTGACCATCAACACCCGGTGCGCATAAGCCAGAAACATGCATCATATCAATTCTCCAGATAGTTAATGTCGCGCTCGGGGAATCCTCCCTTTTTGATAAGGTTACCGACCAAAGGACCATTTCCCCAGGTCGCTCGTCCAAAGGCAGCGACCATATCAAACCCACTCAGCAGCGCCCCTGTAGTCCAGATCTTTCCATCCTGAACCCATCTCTTTTCGACCCAGTTGACTCCCGGCCCGAGTTCACGCAGCATCGGGAGCAGGAACCGTGGCCCCGTGGCGGTCTTGCCCTCCATAAGCCCTGCACTCAGCACCGGCTCGAAGCCTCCGCATACGCAGAGCATGGCTGTGCAAGCATTGTAGCTCTTGCGAAGAAACTCCTTCTCGGCCTCATTGGCTTTGTAGCCCATTCTACTTGCGCCTATAAGGATAATGTCCAGTGGCGGGCAAGTAGCGAAGGAGTCCTAACGGGATGTCAGCTGGATGTTATTCAGGGTGTGTGTAAGGGCATTCTTACCGTAGGCAATACATTCATACCCGTCGTCAGCTTAGCGGAGGTCTTGCCATCCTCGTTGACCCAGTGATACACAAAATCGAATCCCTGGGCCTTGGAGTCATCGTCCACCATCTCGGTGGGCATGTCCTTCAGGAAGTTGCGATCGAGGCCGGAGAAGAAGCCTACTGGGGCGATGTCGAGTTGCTCGGTGACACTGTAGACGATAGGAAGATCTTAGAATGGAAAGCACTACTAGATAGTGCACGGGTTGCGTACGTGTTCAGCAGCACAACACCCACATGTATTGGGCGGCCCGGGTTGCGAAGGTCGACTGGGGAAGACATTGTGAGGATTTGGATTGTTGCCGTTGATGGTTATCTTGTCAGTAAGTTGGGATTGGGTAGAAGACTATTCAACAACAGGAAACCTGTCTTTATATCATCATGTCGGCTAGGCACGAGTTGGATGGTTATGCTTGTATAGATCGGGTGCTCGCTAAGACTTTCCTCCCACGCTCCGCTCTCGCTTCGCCATGCCGGCCGTGCTCGCGGACGAGTAAGCTCAACATGCAGGGCAGACAGCGTACTTTGTCTAAACAATGCGATTTGCAGTAATGCTTCTACTCCGTATGTGGTTTGGTACAGATGAAGCTTGCAGGGCGACATGAGAGGGGAATAGAAGCTCAATTGGTACCGATTCAACCCAAAATATGTCTTGAAGGTCCTGGATCGCGATGCATCGTGTCGGGTGTAAACACGGTTAGCTACAAGATACAGCACACTGGGATAGAAGAGGGATACAATCTTGGTGTCGACGAACAGAATCGATTGAAAGGACGGATGACGAAGAAGGGAGCAAGCAGTTTGATTGCGCAAAAGCAGAAGACAAAAAGTAAGAAGGGCCGAACGCGGATCGAACGCGTGACCTCGGGATCTGCAATCCTACGCTCTACCACTGAGCTACCGACCCGTTCTTGGTGATGGCTGCGTTTTTGTTTGAACTAAGTTTGGGTGCACTCCCGATCAAGCATGTATATATCTAATCGTCATTGTAAGTATTCAATATTGCTTGTTAAAAAGGTTCCAACCTGAGATGGTCTACTATTGACACTTTCAGAAACAATCTTACTATGGTGGAGCAATGTGTGAATTGTAGGCCTAGAGGTATGGTATCCAGATATTGGTTGTCATTCAGCCACATTGCCGGACAAAAGTATATATCCGCAGCCTCAATCCATCGGCTTCCTGATACTCTGAGGCTGATGCATCTCAACATTGGTCACGAAAGGTCATGCTCCCCCCGCCCCCCTCCAAAATGATCCGATAATCGTAAAAAGTCTCATTCTACCCACAAATATCTCATAGACCTCCCATGTTGTTCAGGAGAGGGGGCAAAGGCCGACTAAAGGGGCTCCTAGGGCCAGCTAAGATGGATTGTTCAGCCCTAACTCGGAGGAGTCTCGTCGGCTAACCCACACCTACTGACATGAGAACTTCTAGAGTACTCCGTAGGTTGAAAGCGACAAGTAGTACTGCATGATCGCGCCGATTCATATCTAGACGTGACGTTCGTATACAGATCCAGACCTGAGCGCTGCCACGGTCGGGAATCGGCATCCACCCTGAGATCGAGAAACTAGCTTTGCGACCATTAATGCGACACCAAATGTGGCCATATAACGCAGAGTTGCGTGCATCTTTGACGAAGAATGAGCTCCTAGTAGGATAACCATAGCCCGGGAATGCTGAAGATCTGCCTAATGAGTCACATCGACCGCTTGTCCTTGTCTCAGGAGTGAATCCTAGCCTGCAGCCTGTAGGCTGCACAAGACCACCATGCCGTCTACATTATACTATTAGACGTCCTGTTCTGCATCTGCGTCAGCCTGCAGTCCGTCCCAGTCATTGGAGGTTCCTGCCGGCGGCCTGTAATTATGACCCCAAGTTGCCAATCAAAGTTTTAAAGCGATTGACTGAAACCACGAGGGGCGGAAGTGCGTGCACATTCCTGCTAACAGTCATCCGTGGTCCTGATGGAGTACGCACGCCACAGTTGAAGCTGGCTAATATCGATCATCACGCCCGTTCGATACACCCTGGAGGCAAAGTTCAGCCATCCTACCCTGCATGAGTTGAAGCGTTCTGCACGCACCCCTCGTCTGCCAGTACATCACTCATGCAAGCAATTTTACCTGCTCTTCGGGGCCGCCACGGGTGCTCCTCTGCTGTTAGATACACCCAATTTTCTTCTCGTTATATGTGAGTACCGCTCCTCCGTGGACAGGTATGATCTAGGGCTCTCCGGACCGGCACCCTCGCGCTGCCATGTCACGTTCCCCGGAAGCTCTCCAGAGCCCGCGGAATAACCGATGCGACCGGGATTTGACGTTCCTGACACCGGGTGCCAGGGATGGGATGGGATACAAGTAGCTTGGTGGTGGTGTTGGTCGCTGCACAATTCTGGTATCAGAGTAGATGGAGTTGATGCGCTCTAGTTAGACAACTACCATAATGACAATGAATTGAACCATCGCGAGTGTAACAACGTAAGCGAGTAGTTTAGACAGTGCGGATCAAGTGAAGTGTATTGTATGTACTGCATGTAGCTAGCAGGGGCGGCTATGCATTTCAATCAACTTGCATACCAGGAAAGCTCCCCAGGCTTGCTTTACCCAGAAGATAACCAACAACAGCATGTATATACCGGCGAAGTTCCATGGAATCTGATTAT